TCATTTCAATTTAATTCATTTCATTAAAAAAGGGGATAAAACTGAACCTCTGATTATAGGATTAAATATGCTGCTGCTACATTATTCAGATACCAATTGGGTTAACAATTAATGAACGAATATAAAGATATTAGTATTTTGCATATTACATGAGCATTAGATCACCACACAACAGTGTGTAACAAGTAATTGTTTTAACTTTACGTGTTCCCAGATATTGATAGAATGTTGTTTATTCATTGGGCTAAGTACACTGTACGCATATCGATTGGCTCAGTTGGTTGAGCATCGGACTACAATGCGGGAGGTCGTGGGTTCAACCCTAGCCGGACCAATACTCAGGGTGTTAAAGTAATTGAGTAGAAGTTGCTGTTTGTTTCTCCATCTGCAAATGGTAAGATCTTCACGTCATCTCGGATAACGACAGTAAATTGTAGGTCCCGTCTCTCTTCACTTCTCATTAGCAGCAATGGGACGTTAAAGAATCCACACCACTATTCGACTAAGAGTAGGGGTTGAGTTCACGGTGGTGTGGCCAGGGCTCATCTCACTAGCATTGAGGTCGACTGACGTAGTGTTCGTATAAAGGTTACTAGTCAATGAGACATCATACTAATATACAGCTAGTAACCCAATGAACGTTGCCAAGTGCCGGAACTATGTACTAGATGTAGATTTAGATGATTGTCATCAAAATTTGCAAGTATTCTCTAATGTGAAACGTGCATTCACTGACAATTAATCAATAGTATTCATCCCTTTACGCCGACACTTTAGACGTATGTGCATTTCCTTAATTTGGGCTCAAGAAATGATAATAATGATAAAAATAAATAAATAAATAAAAACTGAGAAATAAATAACAAGCGCCTCAAACAAAATTAAGAGAACGGAGCAAATTTTTATTTATTTATTTATTTACAATTTGAAGAAGTGCTTAGAACATCTCTTCCAAAAAATGATCTTCTAAAAGGGTTCAGTTGCACTTAAAGTTCTTATGACACTAGATGATGAAGGCTTCAAATTATGTTAATGTCATATTTGGCTGCTTATCATTTAGAATACAAAATTGGGTGTTAATTTTTTTTGGAGAAGGCCTTTGTCGTACGACCTCCATATATGGTTGTGCATGTATATGGCGCTGATGTACTCATAGAATTCTCTTGTGGAGTAGAACTTAAACTGAAATTTTTGAAGGACGCACATTAAGATATGAGTCAGCGCTATGCATTGCCTAACCCTATATTTTCCCTAAACTTATCCATGCAATTTTTTTCTCAAATGCTAAGCATGTATCCTGTTTTACGTAGTAACAAATCAGCAATAAATGCTGTCAAATTTTGAATTATATAATAGCGACATTTTTATAAGCACGTTAAAATCATGCACGGAGAAGATAAGCGACATTTCTCACTTTCTTTCGATTTAAAGAAGACAGGTATATGGTTGCCGAAATTATTGAATTTCTTTGATGACGCTTATCGATTTTATTTATTTAACAATGCAACAAAAGACACTAAATTCACTTCTGTGCTTGTATGAGATGATCACAGCCCTCTTTTACTGTCATTGCCAAAACTCCATGGGCCATATATTCATGTGCATGCTAAAAAATTCATCCCTCCTGGCCCCAAGATGTAAAATTCTCAACAAAATGAATAGCCTATCATGAATAAAAAAGTAGTAGCGCCAAAATTCTCAGATGTGTTATGGGCGTGACTTAAGGAAGACTTCTACTACACAAAGTCTTAATTTGACAGTACTCAATAATTGGAATTATCCATGGCAATACCTATATATCTCAAAGGTTGATTTCACGGTTTCTGGGGATCTTTTACAAGTAAACGACGACTATGACGTCATTATTGGCATATGGCAATGTCGATCTAGAATAAAAAACAAAAGATGCTTTTCATTTGTGTATAATGTCAATGCTTCATCAAAGCCTATTATCAAATTAAAAACTGTACAAACTAGAAATAGCTAGTCGTTGACTGCCCATAAATGACGGGTTCATGTTTAAAAGATATATTCACCTATGCTACCAGTTGCAACACATTGAGAAAGCCCAGAAATGTAAGTTATCTATTTTAATTGTCTATATAATGCACTTCCTATGTTTACAGAAGTAAAATTCAATATTTRAAATATAAGTTCAAAGTCCAAAAGATTAAAACAAGAAAAATTTGGAGCCAAATGACTTTTAAAAATTTTAAAGTTAAAAATAATACGACGCAAAGACATTTGAGATTTTTCTGGTAAATTTACGAAATGATATCCACTCATTTTCACGGAAATCATATTATTATATTGATCATATCTGTTGAGCTAATATAAAGCTTGCTGACGAATGACATTTTACTTGAAATTTGAGAAATATTTTGTAATTTTAATTTCCTTTTCTATGAGCTACTCATTAAATTGATCGATAAAATTGCTCGGAATACATTTTGCTTGGCCTTCAAGGGCTGYTTTGTGACATCTTCGTCCTCACCCATTTCTTCCATATGCAAGCAATCGTGTATCATCGCATCATAACTTTTTTCTTTTTTGCGAACTCTTCTTACAAATCGGAAAATTTTCTTATTGTAATTGCGCATAAAATAGTTCAATATAACCAATGTCATGGAAAAATGAAATAGTCGTCGAATAATAAATAGTAGTAAGAAATTCATTATATCTAAGCCGGCTCACTCACACTGKTATATTTTTGCTATCTTGAAAGTTTTTATGAGATTCACTATTATTTTCGAGAGATTCTTCTTGCTTTTTTTTAAGTTGAAGGAATTTCCATAAACCAATAATTAGTAGTAGTAACCAAAAGATCATGATTTTCATTCATGWCGAAAAAAGTAGAAAAACCTTACTCTGTAGAAATTAAGATTTAATGTTTTCACATCAACATTACATTGATTTTAATTAACATTTTTACACAAAACTGCATTAMAAAATTCACGGGTTCACGGCTAACAACTCTGGTGTATTCTATAGAGAGCATACTACTTCTTAAACAAAGGTGGCAACACTTTATGCCCGCCATTATAGCTGCTACAAATTTGTAAGACTATGCATCGATCGCAAATATATGGTTTAGTATAATAGCACGAGTTTTGTTTACAATGTCAGTGTCAAAACTTTGTTTGAACCTTTTGTGAGTCAGTCTTTAGCCAGACAAGATGGTATACAATGCCCGATGCAGCTTAAATTTGAATACAGCCTCATTGCTTCATCAACGAACTAGAAACATCTGGTCGGTAACTGCCCACCGTTGGGTTGTCACATTAATCGCAGTTGTAACACAGTTATTGTTTAAAATATATATTTTTCTATGTTTGAGCCACACTGAGGAAACCATTTTATCATAGAGTGGGTTTTTATGCAAGACTTCACTTTCTCACTTTCGAAAAATTGTGTTATTGTCACAACATTGAAGTCTTCATGGAAAGCCACATTTTACCTAGTATCTACTTATTGGTACCTATTGTAGCTGATATACTACTTTTTTAGCTTCCTATATACGAAATATTCACTGTAGTTGTTGCTGTTGTTTTTTTGTTTCACTGCTTATTTTATCGATAACTAATAACAGTTCTTGTTTTCTCTATATTAATGCATATGGTTCAAAAGATTATATCAAAATCAATATGCGAACAGTGCAAGCACACTGAACAATGTTATCAAATTAGCTCTCAAATGTGAAACCTGCATTCATCGACAATTAGACAAGCTATAGTATTCATCCCTTACGGCGATATGCTTTTTTGACACAAATGTGTCGAATACGGACATGCCTCTCATTTATACTCTCTTAATTTTGGCTGAATAAGTAATAATAACAAGCAAAAGAGCCTTAAACTGAGAGAGCCGAGAGAATAATTTTGGAAGAAATAAAATTGTGCTTATAGCTACAATATATGTATGTAACTA